GTCACGCCCCTCCCTGAGAACTGTTGCTCCACCTCCTTGTTTACCACTGGATATAAAAGACTCACTGAAGGAGGACACAAAGGGTTTTTTTTGAGGATTGTTGATTCTTTGGTGGGCTGCTCACAAGAATAATGCTGCTGCTGCTGCTGAGTTATGCTAGAGAGTAGAGGAAACATGGGGCAATGCAAGTCTGAGCACCAAGACTTTAAGAGAGATTAAAGAAAACATGGGACAGTGCAAGTCTGGGGGCAAAGACTTTAAGAGAGATTATGCTAAAGAAAAGCTAAGCAAGAACATGGGACAGAGTGAGTCTAAGGAAAGAAATTTTAAGGAATAGAAAAGAAGACTTTAGAAGTAAGGTTTTAAAGAAAGAGAAAAGAAGCAAGGAGACTGTTGTGCATCTCTATGCGAGTGCCCAGCACACCTGGCCCCAACTTTCTGCATGTCTGACTTCTATCGTTTGTCCTTTCTGCATCTCCAGTCACCCCCAGTTAGGTCAGGAGGACAGGAGCGTGAGAAAGCACTCTACACTCTACCCAGCACCATGCAGTGAATTTAAATCAGAAGAGAGGCATTTGCTCTTCCCATGGCTGCTTCAGCGTCACTGAAGTCAAAGAAAGGTAAGGATTCCACTAAAGCTCCAAAGCAAATAAACTGTCTCTGCTTTTCACATCAGCATTTCAGAGTCTCAGTATATCAGCAGGTGTGATGGTGCATCTGTAATCCCAGCTCTGGGGAGGCTGAGGTAAGCAGGAGCATCACCACTTCAAGGCCAGCCTGTGGTATACAAGACACTGTTTAAAAGTGTGGTATATAACAAGCTGTTTAGAAAAGGAGACATCATTATGGCAAACTGTGACAGCTTTTGCATATTTAGAGGGTTATTTCCTGGCTGAATAAAATGAAGGCATATTAGTAATGATTACATGTACAGCTATTTTAAAATCACAGGAATAACCGTAAGTAACTTACCAACCTTCTGTTAAGAGTGAAATAGGTGAGACAATTCTTTAATTATTGGCCCAAACACTCAAAATAATGAAGCTCCACATAGTGAATCCACCATACTATGATTATTCACAAACAAATTTTTACTTTAAAGGTAAGTATCCTATTAAAAAGTCATCATTTTCATTAGTGAAGAACCTCCGCTTGTGTTAAATTCAGGGTTAATTCTGTTTTGTTTCCTTCTAGAAGCTCTCATAGAAACTACCAGGTAAAAATAAATGTCACTAAATCCTGAAAACATAAAAAATGTCAGGCTCCACTTCTTGATTCACTGTTAAGACTATGGCTAAATTTTTTTAATTGTTTACCTTTTTTGTGATCCCTGATTTTTGCTTTTGGTAAAACATTTTGACTATCTTATATTATTATCACACTAAGTTTAAATTTTAAACTTATTTTACAATGTGTTGTCTTTGGATGAAAACTCTTCATTCTATATTGAAAGCAGTATCAGTGGCATTATACATATTTCTATAAAATTGGTTTGAAATTAACTCTTTACTGTATCAAAATGCCTAATATAAAGTAACCCCCAATGGGTACATAAAGACTTAAAATAAGGTCAAAGGAGATGAAGCATCAAAAGAAACATAATGAGGCTGGGACCAGTGGTTCACCCCTATAATCCTAGCTACTTGGGAGGTGGATATTGGGAGGAATGTGGATCAAGGCCAGACTGGGGATAAAGTTCGTGAGACCCCCATCTCAACCAATGGATGGGCACAGGGATTCATGCCTGTCATCCCAGCCCTGCAGAGAATCATAAATAGAATTATCTGGATCAAGGCCAGCCTGGGCATAAAGCCAGACCCTATCTCAAAAATAACCAACAGAAAAAGGGCTGGGAGAGTGGTTCAAGTGGTAGAATGCCTGCCTAGCAAGCATCAGGCCCTTAGTTCAACACCGGTACCACCAAAAAAAGAAAAGAAAAAGAAACATAATGAAAGAGCACCACCTATATTCATCTTCCTTATTCCCTCCTATACAAGAATGAATATAGAATTTTTAACCCTGTTGAATACTCCATAAGAAGACGAATAAGGTAGAAAGAAAAAAATGGTGGGGATGAACAAATTTGGGATATAATACATATACACATGGAAATGTCATAATGAAATTCTCTGTATAGATATCTTTAACAAACAAAAATATCTTTTTTTCTTGATCAAAAATGGAGGACAGGAGTGTAAATCAGGCCCTGTCCGGTGGTTGGTATCAGTGGGAGAGGAGAAGATATAAGGAAAAGGTGAGTATGGTGGAAATACTGTGCTCATTTATGAAAATGGAAAAATGAGACCTGTTGAAACTATTCTAAGAATGGGGGGGTGGGTAAAGGAAAATGATGGAGGGGTGAATTTAACTAAGCTATATTGTAAGAATTTTTGCAAATGTCACAATGTACCCTGGTACAACAGTAATATAATTTTTAAAAATTTTTATAGAATAAAAAAACAGAAAAAAATTATCCAAGAAATAAAAGCACTCATATTATTGTGCAGTATTTTTCTTGCTTCCAAATAAAAGCTAAAAGTGGTCATTTCTATATCTAATAACTTATATTGATAAAAGTATTTATTGGGAGCAATTCCTTCACTTGTGTACTGAGAATGTTAACAGTTTGTAACGCTGCTGACTAACAAGCTTCCAAAGTCTAGAGGCATGAGAAGATGAACTTTCCAGTCTTCTTGAAAACTCATTTTGCCGTATCAAGTATAGACAGCAGCTAACAATAAGTATTTCTGTGCCAAGCACTGATCTTTACCCTTGTTTTCTGTCACAGTAATATGTAAATACTTCATTTCTTGTCTTTCTCTCCTACTAATTCAGAGACTCCATAGAGACAGAGACTTTATCTTGTTCCTTATTGCAAACCCAGCACCTAGTATACCTAACAGGGCAGGCAGTGAATTAAAATTTGCTCATTAAATTTGGGCTCTAAATGCTTTAATATTTCTAACCCTTGCTCATGACTTATGATGGTTATGAAAATGCAACAGAATATAAAATAGAATGTATTATACCTAGTAAAATAAAAATTCTTTAGTGAAAATTTTCTTTTAGTGTATATGTCCCATATAAAATGTCTCCACCTTTTTTTCTTCACTGCTGGGGATCAAAACCAGGGCCTCATATATGTCAGGTGAGTGCTCCAACACTAACCTACATTCCCAGCCTATAAAATGTATTTCTTACTATGAACAACAATCACACTTTATGGCCATTATACATTTGCTCCTCATGATAACCCTGTAGATAATACCCTAACTTCCATATAACAGGAACTGAGATTTGTGGAGGTTACATGTGTTGTTCAAGATTGCAGAGCTAGCTCCAAATTACTCATAGGGTACTGTACTAAGAAAATCTGAATTAATTAAATAAGGTTTCAGTAACAGGACTTATGATTTGATTAGTGAAGAAAAACATAGGCTCTGAAAACAGACAAGCCTGAATTTAATATCTCTGTGTAGGCTTTGGCCTATAACTCAACCTTTATGAGCTGCGACTTCCCCACGTGTAAAATAGGGGTATTCATAAGATTGTTACAAATTTTAAATGATTTACTCTACAAGACCAATAAATAGAAGCTGTTTTGATTCAAATAACTATTGGTGTTTTGCTCCTGGTCCTATAAATCACATTCAATCCATTACACCATAACTTGTGTATGTGCAACAAATGTGGATCAGGAATTGCTTGGATCAAACAGCAAAGTATGGTAATAGGGCAAAAGTGGCACAGCGCCTTCCAACAGTTTCTGCTAGCGCTGGTTGTGAAAGATGCCCAAGTCAAGATCAGGGCACTTAGTTGGTTCAGGTAAGTTCAAGAATGAAAGGAAACAATGCTGCTTAACCCTAAAAACAAGAACGAACTCTTCCATCCTGCTCAAAGACGAGACAGAGAGAGAGAGAGCAACATCCATCTTCTTCCTTCGCAGCCTGGCTGGAGCCCAAACGAGGTGTTAGGAAAGGCACCTGGTCTGCTCCCGCCCACTATGGCCCTGGGTACCCGGGAGCAAGACACTGAGGTTCGGAGCAACTCACCCCGGAGACTCTGCTGGTATTGCTCCAGACTCTCCTCCAGGGTAGAGTTCCCTGGGGACTTCGCCATGGGCCCAGAGGTGGGAGTTACGCAGGGAAATGTCCTGCGCACTGCCCTCCGAGGGCAGGCCTATCGCTGGGGGGTGGGGGACGGGACCTCCGCTTGCCTTCTGCCGCCGCTGTCACCCAAGAGCCAGGAGCCCCGGGCCGAGCTCGTGGGGGCGCTTCCTTCCCACTGGCCTTCGTGGTGCACGTCGGGAGTTGTAGTCCACACGCTCTGGCCTTGCCGCGTTGAGTCTCAGGAACTTTGCAGCTACACTACCACTCCCAGAAGGCTTCGCGCTCTGGGTCCCGCTCAAGGGTTTGGCGGCGGGAACCCGTTGCTAAGAGATGGGCTTGGCGGCCGCGCCCTTTCCCTTCAGCCCAGTCTCGTTTAGCTCCGCCTCCCTCCCGTCCTCCTGCAGACTGGACCACCCGGCTGACACCTAGGGTTTTCCCAGGGCCTCGACGCTTCAAAATGCGCCACTTATGCAACTAGTCGCTGAGGCTTCAAAGGATGCACATCACATGCTCTGAACGCTGTTTGTTGCAACATGTGTCCAAATAAATTCTCAAGAAAAGGCAGCTCTAAATCTTCCAAACTGCCAGACCGTGAAGGCAGCCGACACTACAACTCGTAGGGTGCCGGGCACCCCAATCTCTGCCGGGAGTTGGTGCGCTGCCCGCCGGGAGCCGTAGTCCGCGCAGGTTGCGGTTCCGGCCGGGGCCCGGCTCCCCTTCATTGTTTGAGCGGCTCTTGGGTGCACGCCTGCGCAGTGGGCAGCTCGGCGGAGACCCTCCGCCAAGCCCCCTTTCATTGTCTGGACCTGGCGCCTGCGCAGTCAGTCATCGCTGGGCCCAGGCAGGAGGAGAGAGGGCTTTGGCTGCTCGCCCTGTCCCAGGCGCCTGCGCACTGCGCGGCCGCTCTCTGCCGTTACCGCTATGTGTGGGGCGTGTGTGGAATAACGTTATTGCTCAGCGGAGCCGAGGGCCCCGGAGCCCGACTGCGACGACGACGACGACAAAGACGACGGGGTTGGGGGAGGACGGCGTGCTAGCGACTCACGGGACGCGACGCGCCCCGCCTCCCGGTCCGGTGCCTCTCCACGGCGAGGGGTAAGTGATGCGCCGGGCCGCTCGGTGTCGGCGCTGCCACCGCGGCCTCCCGCCGCTTCTCCACCTCCCGGGGGGCACGATGGGGTCTGGGCGCGGTCCGGCGGCCGGACTGGGGTCGGGGCGCTTCCCGGGTACTCGGCGCGGCCGCCGCCCCCACGGCCCCCGGGCTAGCCCGGTCCGGCCCAGCGGCCGCCCATCCTCCCCCTCCCTTCCCCCACCCGCGGCCGCCCGCGCCCCGCGGCCGGGTCCCCCTGCCTTTGTGCAGCGTCCCCTCCGCCGTGGGTGTCCGCGAGGGAATGGCTGCGCCTCAGTAGGGGAGGGAGCCGGGCCGTGCCACCCTTTGGTAGGATTAGTTTGGGGGGCGCTTGGGGGAGGTCAGACCTAGGCCCCTGGGGACACGTTGGATGGGCGTGGAAGATGTGGTGTCACGCACCCCGCAAGGCGACAGCACCCCGCGCGGGCTGTGCCTCGCTCTGGTCCATCCCGGGAGGACACGACTTCCTGTCGCCTTCATTGTCCTAGGATTCAAATGTAGGGGTTTGGTATGGCTCCATTTTATGCAATGGGCGGGAAGACGGGATTTAGGTCCTCCGCCTGCTGGTGTCCAGTATTTATCCACAGGGTTCGCAAGAGTGTAAAGGAGAGAGGCGAGAGCCTGTATACCTGCGGGAGTCCCCGTAGGCCACGGTGGCAGTGTATTGAGCATTGCTCGGTGACAATGAAGACCAGACTGGGAAGGGCCTGACCGGGAAGCGGTTGTGCGGCAGGGAAGTGAAGCAGCACAATTATTTTTTCTCGGCGTGGATAATGCATTCCTGTTCCTAAGGGAGTACATTAGGGTACGGGTTTCGGTCTTGTCTTTTAAGCAATCAGAACGACGGCAGCAGCAACAACAAAAAATAGGCCTGGCATATTTCTGTTTCTAAAAATGTTTCATCTGCTAATGAAAATGTGCACATGTGGTTGAAGAGACATTTTTTAAATGACTTGACTGTTATGCTTACCATGCTTACGGTCCTTTGCTGGCGTTTCTGCTTAGGATGAGCAGAAGAGAGGATGGAGCCGGGTGGAGAGGAGCATGTGGAGGGGTAAGAGGAGAAGGGAGTTACATTATGAACACAGAGTCTTCTTACCCTTAGGAGACTTAGGAATTCAGCTTTGGAAAGAGTGTGATTACAAACCAGTTTTTATTTTTCTGCCATTATTTTAAAAAGAGAAATAAAACTTGGGCTGCTCTTCGTACTTCCTGACTTTGCAGGAAAGTCAAAAAGAACTTTGCAAAGTTCTGTGGAACTTTGACATTTTACAACAGAAGAGTCTTTTTTTGTAGGCTTACTTGTTTTTTTTAAGACAGAGTCTCACTCTGTAGCCTAGGATGGCCTCAAACTCAGGCTCTTCCTACTTCAACCTCCCTGGTCTTGGGATTATAGATATGTTCCACACTGCCTGCTATAGGATAGTGTCACATACACTTGACAGAGACCAAGGCAGGGCGTTAAAACTCAGAAAGTTAACTGACTTGTCCACCAAGCCAAACTAATGGAAGGCACAGCCAGATATAATAACCTGGGTCTGTTCTGTAGTGTGATCTCCCCTGTGTTGCCTGGTCTTCCTACTCTGAAGATTTCATGGAAAGCTGCTGGACATGCTCCTTGAGTTGTCTGTGTCAGGGAACTTGATTCTCACAGTTCTATTAATTTAATCCTTGTCTTTATGATGTAAAATTAGTAATTACACTGAAATGGAGCTTTGGTTTTATAAAGTAACTGAAGGAAAGGTGACCTGACATAAAAAGTAATTGTGGTTGAGTAATTGTTTTCCTACAAACTGTAAAAAAAAAAAAAAAAAAAAGTGCATAACAAAAACTTAATGACATTCGTCTCAACTAGTGAGTTTTATATTATTTTCAACTTAAACCAAAATTTACCTTTTGAGAAACGTTAGCTTTATTGGGTTGATTTGTCATAAATTCTGCACCATTGTAATAGGCATTTTCTTTAGAATTTATCTTCTTTAAATTTCAGCCAACTTAAAATAACACTATCTGTAACTAGACTTTCGTATGTGAATTACATTCAGTCAAACTTTAAATGTATTTTGCTGGTCAATTTCCTAAAGTTATTTACAATATAATAAGCAGTCTACATGCTTCTATTTTAAGCATTAGAAGGATGAAATTTACACTGAATGTTAACATCACTCTGCATAGGATGCAGGTAGCAAGATGCTTCTTGAAGTTCTATGCTTAGTGACTTATTCTGTTTGTTCCAAATGTTTCTTGTTCCTTTATCTTCTGGGAAAAAAAAAACTAGTTTTATTATTGCCTCTGCTAGTAATCAGATATTAACTTCTAATACTAAACACTATATATTTAAGCTTCTTATTGACATGTCTGTTACTCAACAAAATTCTTTTCATGTGTAATTTTTTTTTTTTCTTCTATGCCTTAACTATTGGGTAATTAAGCAGTGTGCTCTTCTAGTAAGTACCTGGCAGGACTGGCAGAGTGGCTCAAGTGGTAGAGCACCTACCTAGTAAGCATGAGGCCTGGAATTTAAACCCTAGTACCACAAAAAGTAAAAAAAATTTAAAAAGTACCTGCAGGGTGACACTTTATTGGGAACTAAAATATCTGTATAGTTACAAATTGTTATGTAAGTGTAACAAAAGCTCAACTACATACCATCTGAAAATGAACATTGACTGGAGCATTAAATGTTGATTTGTTTCAGTAAGAATTAAGTTTATACTTAATGAGAAATCTCAGACCATCTTTTTCATTAAGCTTTTGTTAATGATGAAAATTTCTAATAACTGCACTTGTTTAAATGGACTTTGATTTATATGTTCAAATATTTCATGAGGGATGTGTTCAGCAATGAGTTAGCCATTTTGAGGTATAAAAAGAATTAGAAAACATCTGTGGTTGATTAAACTGGATATATTGTCCAGTTTAGTTGAAATGATTATGCAACAGCATTATTTTTTTTATCCAGAATGAATAATAGAGCAAGTGTGCATAAAGCCTACTTTTATGTAAAAGAGAAAACAAGAAAAGGAAGGTTAAAGAAAACATCGTAAAAATTACTTTCATAGAAATAGGGATTGCAGAGAAGTGGAAAAGAATCCCAAACAGGCATTGCATAGATTTGAAAAACAAGAGAGACATAACAGAAAACAAGTCATTATTTAAGTATATCAGTAATTAATAAATGAGGTAAAAATATCACTCTCTGCGACACTGTATTTATTGAATAAGTGAATAATACCTACCACAAATGGAATACCTACTGAGTGCCAAGCATTGAGTGTGTGTGTTCAATTTACACTGATTCTTCTTAGGTAAGGTACTGTTTTTGCACATTTAAAGTTGAGATAATTAAGACAGAGTTAGTGAATAACTCTTTGTGGCACACGTTACTAAGTGGTAGAGCCTATAACTGAACCTTTGTCTTTTTGGACTGAAGCCAAAATTCTTTCTACTCATCTTTTTTAGTAAGTTAATAGGCAACATTCATACCCTTATTATGATTTATAAAATGTTAGAATTACAAGGAGCTTTACAAGTCATCCATACAATGTGCCACCCATTGCTATTCCTGAGATATTACCGAATCTAGCTTCTTCATAAGCCCTTCCCTGGACATAGAAGAAAGTCCACTTCGCTTTCAGAAAGCCTGCTGGAAAGATTGTTAGCAGAGTCCTATGCCAGAGAGGGGTCCCAACAGACCAGATCCAGCAGTCCACTACCTCAAGAACAGAGACATTGTATTGAAGCAAGAGAGGAATTGATTCAGTAAAACCACAAGAGAAAGCAGCAGGGAAACCAGGACCCTAGTCCTGTCTTCAGGGTACTAATAATAGCTCCAGGATTATATAGGGGAAGGACAAAAGCAGAGAACCCGAAGCATGCAAGTAAAGCAGTATTGGTCAAAGTGTGGTCTAGTTGATTATCTCAAGCTAGTTCTGCTGGCTCCAAGAAATCACTGCTGGAGGGACAGCTAGGTTTCTGTCATGACGTGATTGCTCCCTCCACCCCAAAGGAGGGCAGCCTAGATTCCGTTCCTTGGTTGTAATCCTTCAGGGCTTGTAGTTACTAGAATTTGAGATACGTGGAAGGATTCAGGCCTGGATGAAAATGGAACGGCCAGGCAATGACTGGATCCTCCCTCCTTTAGGAGGAGCAAAGAAGACCCTGTTATAAAATACTACTTAAATTGAGCTAGTATCTGCTTTTGCTAGGTTATTTCTTCTTGTTGGTTGCAGTTCTAAGGAGTAAGATATAGTAAGATTGTTCTCAATATTAAGTCTATTCTCTTTTTTAAATTAAATGTTCCACCATTTGCAACCTGATATGATACGGTTTCCTTCCCTTTCTCATCTCTGCCAACTAGATTCAGTCACTTGGTTTGTCAGCACTGTTCTTTTTTTTTTCTGATCTGGTTTCCATATTTAATTCTGCAGTTATGGCCTGAATGCAGAGTAGTGAAGCAATTCTTTTATTTCATGTGTATTTCAAGACATACTTGTGTTTGCAGTCTAAAGTTGTTACTCCTGTTTAGCCATAATGTCTTTCCCACTTCTAAGCAAAAAACAACAAGAAAAAAATGACATATGGTTTTTCAAGTTATATTTCAGGGAATTACTTTTTGAGATTCTGAATTTCTCCTTTTCTAATATTAAAGTAGCCTTTATGAAATTGTATTGTTAGTAAGTGGTAAGCTTCTTTTGATATTGGTTGTGAGTTTTTGTTTTATTTTAGTGTTCTTAAATAACTGATTAAAAGTTGGCAGCCTTAAGTTCTCACTTTGTTTTTTGAAAAATTTGTCTAGAAATCACTGGTGTAGTCAATATGTCAACATCTTTACTTGATCTTTAGCTAGATCTTTTCTGTTCTGTTTATGCTATAGATGATGTTTTTGAAGCAACATTTTACCCTATCCACTATGAAATTTCATGTGCTTGAATTTAGGCCACAGTTAAAATTTGTTGAGATCTTC